AAAGAAGAAATCAAGTTCGATTCCCGACAATAGCATTTTTATATATCCAGAAATTTATAACTATATATCAAGAAATTCATAACTATATATCCACAAATTCATAACTATATATCCACAGTGAATGAATGAAGTAAAAATCCACAATGAATGAATGAATGAAGTAAAAATCCACAATGAATGAATGAATGAAGTAAAAATCCACAATGAATGAATGAATGAAGTAAAAATCCACAATGAATGAACTAAATATCCACAATGATTGAACTAAATATCCGTAATGATTGAACTAAATATCCACAATGAATGAACTAAATATCCAGAAATTCATAACTGTATATCCATAAATTCATAACTATATATCCATAAATTCATAACTATATATCCACAGTGAATGAATGAAGTAAATATCTACAATGAATGAACTAAATATCCACAATGAATGAACTAAATATTCATAAATTCATAACTATATATCCACAAATTTATAACTATATATCCAGAAATTCATAACTATATATCCACAATAATGCTATTGCCGAGAATCGAACCTGATTTTTTTTTTTAAAAGTGGGACGCGCGTTTTTAGTCAAAACGACGTCGTTTTGCATCGTATGCACCATGCGCATGGTACATTCGGTTACACAGCATAACTATTGATCTTCATTATGTTGGGCCGCATCATCCTCCCCTTCTTGAAAAATGATTCGACCTCGAATCTTCTAAACATTGTCTGCGATCCGTGACATCACTTGAAACGGGCCACTATAATACTTTCCTCTGTCGAATGAAATTATTATTGGAATTCCTTGATTCTTCCACCAATGATGCTTTAAGGATGTAGTTATGGGCCTTGTGATGAGCCCACTATTTACCCTTACTGGATTCCATGTGTACTGGTTCCTATTAGAACATGAATAAAGTGATTTAAGTCGTAAGATCTATCTCAATTTGTAATTCTCCTCCTCAAATTAAAGTAGGATGAGGAGGAGAGGGCTTAAATACCTCTTTATTCATGCTCAAATTGAAAATTTAAGTTGAAAAGAACGAAAATGCTCTTAAATTGTTTAGATTTTGGCATGTCTTAAATGGAAGGGTGACCAACGTGATGAATTTTAGTACTAAAATAGTCGTTGATGAAAATTGGTACTAAAACAATAATCGTGAATAAAAATTGATAAGAATTAAACATGTGAATCAAAACCGTCATTTTGCTAATACTCGTGAAACTATAATTAGTATTTGCTCTTACGAAGAATATTTTGGCATTATAAAGGGAGTAGGTAGCAATGTATCATCATATTTCTACCAAACAAATTAGTGTAGGTGAAAGTATATGCAAGATTCCCATACCTACTTCGCCACTATCATTAATATTATTTATATTAGCAGTGAACACTAACATCATCGTTATCACATCAACAAAAATATTACGTACGTCGTCATACAAACTCATACTTTACTTTTTATTAATATTAACAAATAACTTGGACTTGGACTTAGGCGATCAACTCAGAATGATTTGTCACTCTAACCCGATTAGATGTTCAATGAAGACCCAAAATGTATATGGTAATTCGATCTATATACATAACTCACTCGAAGTTATGAAGATATAATTATGGAAGGATGAATTGGAACAAAATGACATAAAGTTATATTTACCGCTCAGTTTGTCAATAATTTGATATTTTGATCATATCATGATTCAGGAATGTCCGAATCAGACGACTCTTGAGCCGGTAGAAAGACAATTCAAAGGACTACGATTTTCATAAAGATTATCAGGATCGATTCAGATCTTACCATGCATGGTAAAAAAAAAAAAATGTCATAAAAGGCAATAGTGCATGATTTTCTTCAAATGAATGCAATCATTTTGGAGAATACATTACACAAACTTGAAGACAGATTGAAGATAATTTATGGGGAGTTGTTAGGAAATTATGGAGTGGAAAATATATTTTATAGATAAATTATTAAAGTGAATGGAAAAATTACATTATATTCTTTAAACTTTAGATTATATATGAGATTAGACCCTAAATCTCCACCAATAAATATCCTAGCCATTTATTATTCTCATCATTCCAAAATCACTCCAATCTTCCCTTTTGTAGTTGCTCTTCCCCTTCCTAGAAAGAGAAAGATCCTTCATTGTTTCCTCTTTGCTACATAAAAAGAGAAGTTGTAACACTTTCCTCATAGTGAAATACTTTTAGTTTTGCCCCATGAGTTTTACCCTATTGAAGTTTTTCACGAAAAATCTCTCAATATTAATTTCACTGTTGCTATGTAATTATTTCTTGTATCGTCTATAAGGATTAATCCTGGTCGAATGATTGTGCATGTCTATGAAAATCTCTAGTTAAAACATAGTATTTAAGTAATCCATTTGTGACTCACATATCATTTCTAAAAATATTGTCCAGGTGTACTCTTTGTAAAACTAATATTGTCATGTATTTAATACTGTTAAATGTTCCGTACATTATTCGTCAAATTTACAATAGTGTTGATCCACCGATTAACTAACCCAATAGTCATAAAACCAACAACTATTATAATCACCAATTAAAATTATTGAAGTGTCTTAATTATCAATCAACAATTACTTATAGTGAGTTTTGGTTGTCGGAATTAAAAAGAAAAGAATAGAGTCATTCTATAGAAATTGATAATAGTATTTTTTAAAAAAAATTATTGAATGGTTAGAAATTACCGATATAATATTCGCTAGTTGTCCAGGTCGGTTCAATTGTTCAATTTTTTTGAGAATGTTTCTATAGGTCAATACTACTAATCACTTTTGATTAGTAGTTCGATCAATTTTTTAAATCTTCCAAATAGTTAGAACTTAGAAAGGTCATGATAGTAAAATTAATGTTTGTTATAAATGGTGTTAATGATTATTTTAATTATAAATTTTAAAATATAAAGAATAAATTAACTAAATTGATGTATAAAAATAAAATAAAATTATATAAAGATTCCGTCGATCCTTTGACAATAATTATTATATCAAAAAGTTATTATAAGCGTTCTTAAGATCTGTGAAGACAACAAACTGATAGTGAACATTTCACACAACCACCCTTTTAATGGCGTTGGTCAACCACTCAACGATACACACATTCAATTCACCCATCATATATAGACAGACTCATGAGAGTTAAATCATCTCTATCTAATGTCTTTCAATCTTTCATAGAAGGTAATAGCCTATTTGATAAAATAGTTAACTTATAGTCTTTTTTTTTTTTTTTTTTTTTTTTTATCATTGTTATAAGCTTTTTTTTTATTTTGTTAAAAAATCAATATAAGTGTTTGATTAATTAGCATTTTGTAACTCTAAAATGCTAAAATTTAAAAAGCAGCTCAAAGTAACTTTTTCAATTAACTTTTTGAGAAAGGAAATTATACCCAACATCAGCTAACAACTAATTTACCAAACACCACCCTGTAATTAACCCTTATCAACTAGTTATACCATTTAATTAACCTAATAAGCTAACAGTCATTTACCAAACAGGGTCAATATCTGTTTTATACTTTCTCAAATTTTTTCAACTTAAAAAGATTAATGAACTCACTACCGAGGTTCGATCTTATGGCCACCAATTTAAAATAGTAACAGATGTATCATCATACTGCATATATAGTAATTGGCCACACAATATACTCATTATCATATAAATTTATCAATTTTGAAAATTTGTATTGAATCGATCGTGTAAATTAATGTTATACAAAATTTTCTATACATTTAAAGGGAAACAAAAATCAAATTTATGACCTTACACTTTATCTTTTTTTTTTTTATTCGTAAATGGGAGGTCACAAGTTCGAACCTTAATAAGAACATTGACTCTTTGTATTTTTAATACGTTGAGAAAATATGTATTATAAAGAAATATTACAATGTAATAACTTGAGTCGGTAGTACTAAAAAAAAAAAAAAAAAAACTCATAATTTTCTACTTCACGAAACTATAAATTACAGGTTCTAGCCACTCTACTATAAAATTATTAATAGATAACTGTGACTTAGTCACTTACATTCATTATATATGGTGTTTGTCAAAATTTACTATTTGAATTATATTACTGATATTACAAATTAAATAATTTATCACTTGCAAATGCTATATTGCTATGTCGTAAGTACGATTTTGTATTTTAAAAATATTATATTATAAGACAATAAAATTATTTAATAATATCAACTGAAATATTGATTTTTAATTTAAATTAAAATAATTGTTTACATCCATAGTTTTTTTTTTACTGATATTAAATTAAATAATATAGTAATTGAATTAGCTCTCACCACACGTAACACATAATGAGTTAATGACATAAACCATTATTTTTCAAGTGTAAGACCGTGTATTATTGAAGGGTGTCATATTTTATGATAACAACGACAAATTAGAAAACTTTTTATTCTATATAGCTTTCTTTTTTGTCTGGTCAACATGTTGTCACAAATTGATATTAAATTACCACATTTTATACACGTTGTCACATCACTTTGAATATTATGGTTCGTGCCATCATTTTCATGTCAAGTTAAATAATATTAAGGATAAAAAATGATTGCCTAAAGAAGTTCAATATGGAAATATACTATTTATATTAAAAAATGCAATACAAAGTAAAAGTAAAGGTCCTTTCAAAAAAAAAAGTAAAAGTAAAGGTTGTTATTTATAAAAGAATGTCTACTTTTGAAAAAAAAAAATACAGTATTTTAAATAAAAATGTAAAAGTATTATATTTTTTTTTATAAATAATTAATATTTTAATCCTTATTAATATTATATTTTTTAGTATAGATGTTACATTTTCATATTAACCTGATCCGTTTTATGAACAAGAATTTATGAGATCCTCTAACATCAGTTTTTGCCATAAAGTTATTGTCAAGAATGGAATAATATTAACTATTCAATGGCAAATTCTAAAGCGTACTCTATACCAGAAAGGTCAACCATAAATACAAGTCGCTGAGCCATATATGTAAGATACGATCATTTCATCTCGTTTCTTCTCTCACTCTCCCTCTCTCGCTCGGAAGATCATCGCTGCTCGGCGGTTCAGAAGAAGAAGAGCAGAAACTCCGGCGGACCAAAAACCGGCCGAGCTTAATCGACGTAAGTCTATCGCCTTAATTAATGCCTTATGCATGTACTGTACTGCACTGCGTTTGTTTATGTGAGATCGAGCAGCCACATAATGTTCGACCTTTCCATCCACAGATGCAGGCCCTATTTGGTAAATAGTTAAGTATCAATTAATTTTGGTTTATTTGATCATTATTAGCTGTTTGATTTAGGTAATTCATATGAGTGTGTTTGATTAATTAATTTGTTTTTCTTTTATAATAACTTATTGTTCAAAAATGTTAAAATTTAAAAATTGTTTAAATTAAATTTTTCGATCAATTTTTTAAGAAAGTCATTTTGTATATATTCAGTTATCAGCTAATTTACTAAATATTTTTTTTTTTACAATCAGCTAATACTACTAACTAGTCAAATCCACTAACCCAATTAATCAACAACTATTTTTACTAAACACCGCAGACTGTGGTGCATTAACGTTTCTCTCTCTTAGTTGTGAAATATTGTTTTTTTTTTTTAAATCCTTTTTACAGTCAATAGAATATATTCATGTTTAATTTTCTTGTCGCCTTGTCGGTACTATTATAAATATAATGATGATATATTCCTGACCGTCGACGTGGTTCCTATTGGCTGAATTGGCACCTATTTATTTTTGTTCTACACTTCGCGGAAAATATTTTAAGAAAAGTGGAATTGAAATTTTATGGAAAAATAATTACTAAGAAGATGAATTTCATTGTTTGGTTGGTAGAAAAATAATTATTAGGAATACTAATTTTATTGTTTGATTAAATTTGAAATTGTAAAAAATAATGAGTATAAAGACTTATATGCCCCTATAAATTAATAAGAGTAATATAATTAAAAAAGAAAATAAGGGTAAAATTGACAATTCATATCACTTTGTCTTCCCATCTTTCATGGAAAACAAAATTCTTGGTCCAACCAAGAATTTTGTTTTCCTCAAATTTGAAGAATTCATTTTCCAATGAAAAATGATTTCAATGAACCATACACAAGAAAACAAAAATTTTCCTCCACTTTAAGAAAAATGTTTTCCAAAAGAAAACATTTTCCATGAACCAAACATCCTCTAATGATTCGATTTCAAGCTTCTTCTCCCTAGCATGATCCAGCGGCATATATAGTAAAATAATGGAATTATAAAAAATAAAAATAAAAAAAAAAGTTTGTATTGCGTTACTTCTTTTATAATGGTGATTGATACTGTGGAGAATTTAAGAAAACATAAAATATTGTCACAATTATTCTCCATATGCACTGTTGGTGTAATTATTAGTGAGTGCACTGTATTTTGTTGGCATTGTGTTATTTTTTAGCCAACATTGATGTAAATACTTTCTAAATTATTGTATGTTTTTAGAAAGTTTTGGCGTGCTCTCCAAACTTGATGTTTATCTTTAAATTGCGTAAACAAATGTTCTATCTCACTATCTCAGTGTTACGGGAAAATAAGCGGAAAATAAGCAGAAAAAGGCTAGACGTTACGGGAAAATAAGCGGAAAAAGTCTATATATCTAAAAACATAATAAGGGTCAATACAAGTTATGTCCTTGATTTTTGTCCCTTTTTTATATGCTAATAAATATATACATTTTGCTTTAATTGTTGTACATTCATTTGCATTGGACAAAATCACCCTTACACCGTTATAACACCGTTAGTTTTTAATATATCTATCAATCTTACCATACACCTACATCTATCATATCTTTTTCCTATTTTTAATGATCATTTTATTAAAATTATCATATAACAATTAATTTAATTATAAATTATATTTTAATTAAATATTTATATGAATGTTAAATTATATATATATATATATATATATATATATATATATATATATATATATATTATTTGTGTATCCATATCAATATATCATATATGTGAGTCTTAGCATAGTATTATTTGTAAATTATTATTATATAAAAATATAATTTATTTATTTATTTTTTTGTTTTGATCACTATATTATTCAAAAAATATAATAATTAAAAAGTATCATCACTTTAAGAAATTGCAAAACATAATTTTAACTAATTTTTAAAATTTTGTTATTTACAAATATTTTAATATTGGGCATAAATTTTCGCGCATCGTACAAAAGGCTAGTATATATATATATATATATATATATGAGAGTTCGAGTCCGTAAGAATGTGCTTGCACATGCAAAGTGAGAACTTATTTGATTTATCCATTTGGATAGACCGTTATGGGAAAATAAGCGGAAAATGTCTAAAAAACATCCTATTTTTTAATATTAGAACTCTAAATCATTAATAAATTATGATGGGTGGTTGAAATCAATAATCACTTTTTACCAAGTCGTTCTATAAAGATTTGTAAACTAATTGCTGAATGATGGTAGATTTGGTTCATATTTGGTTCATAAAAGGCATAAGATAAGAGTTAATACCTTCAATGGTATTTTGAATATTAGCGATTTACCAGTTATGGTCATCCGAGTTTTAAATGACTTGCGAATGGTCCTTCATGTTTTAAAAAATAATCATCCGTGGTCCTTAGATATCTCATGGTCATTTTAAACTCGGATTAAAAAAAAAAAAAAAAAAAGGACCACGGGTGGTTATTTTTTTAAATATGGAGGACCATTGGAGGTCATTTAAAACTCGGATGATCACAGCTGGTAAATCGCTAATACTCGGAGGACCATTGGAGGTATTAACTCAATTACATAAATTCACTATGCTATTTTTATGAACATGTAGTATTATTTTTATTTATCTGAAAATTTTTATGCACATATAATATTATTTTTTATGAAATTAATATCATTTGAGGTTCTCATGGTATAGTGATTTTGCCACGTTTAGTCCTAAACTTTAAAATTGACTATTTGTGATCTTTTGACTTTCAAATTTAACCATTCCTGGTCAAGTTAACCACTCATGATCCTTCAACTATTAAATTTTAACCAGTCGTGGTACTCTTGAAACGTGAGGATGTGGTTTCATTGGCCCGCGGCTGAATTTGTGGCGGTGATTTTTTTTTTTTTCTTGATAGGGTTTGTAGCCATGTATTATTGGTATACTGAATACTGATATCATATGAGAACAATAGTTTTGAAAATTATGTTATTATTGATCAATCCATGATAATCTAAAGTACATGATGAAGAGATATATTTATAAGAATACAAAGAGTTATAGTCACGATAGAAATGGTAAGTGGTAATATTCTGGAGAGGGTCGAGTGTGCCTAGAATTAATTAACGCTGAGAGCTCTATGATTAAATATTTATTTTACTTGTTACTGATTCTTGAATTCCATGTTGTTGTGTGATATAGAGATATGGATAATGACATACATAAAAGGCTGCTAAGTTCTCAAGCAGAGAACACAAGTGATGATCTAAAAGTTAGGGTATACGAGGAATCCAGCAAGATATGGAGAATTGCATTGCCCGGTGTACTCTCGCGGGTGACTTCATTTGGAAGTATAATAGCCACGCAGTCATTCATTGGCCACGTCAGCGCGCTTGATCTTGCTGCTTATGCCCTTGTTCAAACTCTCATTGTCCGATTTGTCAATGGAATTTTGGTAATTTTTAATGCATATATAATCAGGCATTCTTGTTAGCAAGTTTGCACCGAAAATGTGGTCGAATTCGCATGTTTATGTCTGGGTGTTTTAATTGCAGTTAGGGATGTCGAGTGCAACAGAGACTCTATGTGGGCAAGCATATGGAGCTGGGCAGTATCATATGCTGGGAATTTACTTGCAAAGATCATGGATTGTTGATTTGGTGACATTGACAATCTTTATTCCGTATTACTTCTTTGCCACTCCATTCTTCAAGCTTCTTGGAGAGGAAGAATCCATTGCAGAGGCTTCTGGATATATCTCTTTGTGGTTCATTCCTTTCGTCTACAGCGTAGTATTTAGCACCACCATCCAAATGTATCTACAAGCACAGCAAAAGAACATGATTATTGCGTGGCTATCTATAGCGCAATTTGTCATCCACATTCCACTTTCTTGGTTATTAGTTTACAAGTTCGAGTTTGGGGTTGCGGGTGCGATGATTGCCCTCTCCATATCCTCCTGGTTCGTTGTGATCAGTGAGTTTGTGTACATATTTGGAGGCTGGTGCCCAAATACATGGAGAGGATTTACAATGGATGCCTTCAAAGATATATTCCCTGTTGTCAAGCTCTCCATATCTTCAGGACTTATGCTTTGGTAAGTGCTTTTCACTTCATAACTTTGAGGACCTGTGTCTAGTGCTCACAAGGAGTCCGCCATATTGGGTGTGACTCTTACACTGTCACTGTTAGGGCTCAGTCTTGCGTCCTTTTTCACAATCTGCCACCTGAAACTAACTGAGCTACCTGTGCGGGCTTTTCACTTCATAACTTAATTTGATCAATGCCACTTCCAATATCTTTAATTTGGTTTCTAGTTTGGAGCTATGGTACTATGCTATATTGGTTTTGCTAGCTGGATATATGAAGAATGCAGAGGTTGCCATATCAGCCTTCTCCATCAGGTAAGCTAATAGTTTCTTTCAATTCTGATCTGTTGAATGGTTATTGCAGCAGTAATGTATGTAACACTCCAACTGACTTAATTTCATTATATTCTACAGCATTAATGTATATGCATGGTTATTCATGATTAGCTTGGGCTTACTTGGGGGTGTCTGGTACGTTACCATTAACTAGTATTACCATCAATATATATTTCATCGATCTATATATTTATAATTTTCTACTTAACTTCCATGCAGTGTACGCGTTGCGAATGAACTTGGCAAAGGGGATGCTAAAGCTACAATATTTTCTATTAAAGTAGCTATAGGGAATTCGATTGTGATTGGGTTATTCTTCTTTGTTGTGTGCTTGGTGTTTGGGAACAAAATTGGATACATGTTTACCAACGAGAAGGAGGTTGCAGATGCTGTGTCGGACCTCTCTATACTGCTCGCATTCTCTGTATTGCTCAATAGTATTTATCCAGTACTGTCAGGCAAGTTAAGATTGTGCAAATTTGGTTAAGTTTTCAATGCTTTTTACTAAGAATTTCTTTCTTTCACTTGAATTTTGGGCATCAGGTGTGTCGATTGGAGCAGGTTTACAAACCACAGTAGCAGTTATAAACCTGGTTTGCTTTTATGGTGTTGGAATACCCATTGGTGCTTTGCTTGGCTATGTAGCCAATCTTCAAGTGAAGGTATGAATAGTTATCCTTGTTCTCATCATATACAGAAGTCCAAAGTTGTGATATTCTTCTTGCTTATATTGTTTGGTAGGGTATTTGGGTTGGTATGATTTTTGGGGTGGTCACTGAGACACTTGCCTTGTGTTATATGACATGGAAAACAAATTGGGATAACGAGGTACATACTTAAACTAAACTCTTGAATATTACTGTAATACGATATGATGATTGAATCTATCATGGAAAAAGTATGAGATTCATTTGTGATTTTGTAACAGGTGGCTAAGTCTAAAACACGCCTCAAAAGATTTTTCTTGAATTCTGAAGATTCCAATCAACCTTCTCAACTAGCTTGAGGTTCAAAAAGTAGAGCAGAATATTTATGAATACCATCCTTTCATTTGGTATTATTTATCAATTCTCTAGTACTATTGGCATTGTGCACTAGTTTAATTAATAACCATGATGCAGAATTTCTCGTCATTTTTATTTAACTTGTATTGTGCTTTGAAATTTTTGTGTTACTCAATCTAGAGATAGAGCACTTATGTGAGAGTTACCAATTTATGAAATTGCTCGGCTAGTAATTTTAATTCCAACATTTGTTGCAACCAGATTGACAATGCTTGATGATAGATTCAACATTGCAGCGTAGTAGTTACGAAATTTATGAGACTTTCATTTTATATTATATTATTCATAAATTTTTCTAGTACTAGGTGTTTTTCGTTATTTTCATTTGTATATATATTCTTTAACTTAAATTTTTCTCTAAAATTTTTGTGCTTCATCAATTGTTATACAATGGACTAGGGTCCAACTTATATTATGGATTTAAATATTTAATTCAAAAATTATGTGTTTATAATAAATATAATTTAAATGTCATTTTGAACCAAGACTAACAGGGCAAAGTGGATCATGGTTTATCGTATAACTTGTCGTGCTACATTCACCAAGACATTATTTATTTGTGTGTATTTATACTACCTGACATGTCCATTTACATTTATTAAGATTATTAATTTTCCCGTACCTTATTGTTTTTTACCACTTCTACACGCGCGTCATTCCGGTAGCAGATTGACATAGCAAATTTTGAAATATCACATGTACATTCAACTCACTAGTAATAAATTTTCACTATAGGTGTGTTGATTGAAATCTTTAGCTCTAAGGAATGAGTATCAAAGTGATTATATTGTTTAGTTGATAGATTTTTAGAATAATACAATGAGTTTCAAATACCCCTGGCCTTAATTGAAAAATCTATACCCAAATTAAATAAGGGTATCATCCCTTTTCATTTCCTTATTCCTTCTCATCCCATTTGATTAGTGTTTTAAATTTTTGTTTTTTTTTTTTATTGGTGTTTTGGATGTCTTTATATTAGAAACAATTGTCTTGATTTTGTGTTCTTGTATTTTTAAAATCTTTATTCCCATTATTGGATCATACATAACTAATTGATAATCATTCTCATTCCACCATACTACCAAACATGCAAAATATTTTTACTAAAACCAATTACCATTACTAAGTATTTGATACCCATCCCAATTTCGATACCCATGTACGAACCAAACAAAGCCTAAGTAGGTTCACATTACATCCATTTTAAATGAATACGAATTGAATGCATGGGAACATATTTGAATGATTTTGGTCCATCTTTAGTCACCTCTAACGCTTATCATTTCTCTACCTACCCGATATTATCCTTCTTAATGGCATTTTCCAACAACTCAACCACTCCATACCCCCCATTCAATTCACCCATCACAAATATAGAGATTTACATATATGCTCTGTTTTGTAAAGTTTAGTTAAATTACAAATAAGTTATAAATTCTGTTTGATAAAACATAAAGAATTTAAAATAATAATTTATTTTGAAACTAGATCAAATGATTTCTTTCACTTATGAATCCCAAACAATTCAATTAGGGGTCAGTACACAGAATTTTAAGGTCGCTACATACTAGCTATTCTGTATAATTTATTTTTAATTGTTAATTGTTTTTCCATTTCTCAATTCTTCAAAATATAATCAATCCATAAGAAGCTGATTTACAAATCCGTTAGAATGAACTTTTCATGCGAAAGTACGTCCACCATAAATACAAGTTGTTGAGCTAATTTATTTACAATGTCAGTCTCTTTAATTTGTGAGTATGTGTTGCTGCGATACCGTACCATTTATAATTTCCATATGTTTTTGTGTTATGGTTCATAAATTGAGGAATAGTTACATCAAGGCAACTCCAATTGAGTAATCGTCAAAATCTCAGTCAGTAATGATTACAAAATAGGTATTGATTATTGCCTTGCCTACGGGATAATATCTTCCACTCATGTTTTGAAATTCCTATGTATGTTACCCTTCTACTACTCGGACTATAAAATAAGAAATAATGCTCAAATAGACTATAGAACTATATCAAAAAAAAAAAATTGTATTTAGGCCATCTAACTCAAAAAAGGCAATTTATATTATGGACTAGAGTCTACATAATATTATGGACTCTGAATCGAAACGACGAGATACAAAATTAATTACTATAAGGTACAAAATTTCATAACACAAAACACAAAAAATCACAACAGAAGACACATAGCATTATGGACCCTGAATTGAAACGACGAGGTATAGATTTTCAAAACATAAAACACAGAAACTTTTAACATAAGACACAATTACTAAATTGTTCCAGGTACAAAATTTCATAACACAAAACACAAAAAATCATAACAAAAGGCACATATATACACATGTTATATATTTATTTTTTTTCAAATTTGATTTAGGTATATAATTTGTGTTCAACATGGAAGCCAAAAATTAAAGTACAATCATGTCCATAGTATATGAAACGGACTAGTCCTAGTCTACCCAATGTAACAAATGAATCGGCTCTAGACGGATTGTGCCTGAATTGAACTTTAGACTAAACCATCTATTTCACACCCCTAATCTTTTTTTTTTTTTTTTTTTTTTGAATGCTATTTCACACCCCTAATCTAATCAATGATGATGTCAAGAAATTTTTTTTTTCTCAGCTCGCATGAATTACTCTCTTGTCTTTTATAGTCCACTGCTTAGCTTCTTGGCTACTATCTTGCTCATTTTGCTGTTATTAGTTGAGTACACAACACGTGCTCCGATCCCCGTGGCGTTGAAATATATAGATGATTATACCGACATTTCAAGCCGTACAAGATAGAATGAAAGTTATACCTATTGTATTATAAGAATTAATCAAATTATATTTTTCATAAATTATATTGCGTAATAGAAATTATGAAAGTCTACGTACCATAAATACAAGTTGTTGAGCTCCACTATTTCACGTCATTCATTAACCCCCCTCTCTCTCTCTCTCTCTCTCCCTATCACGGTCATGCTGGGTGCTTCAGAAGAAGAAGAACAGAAACTCCGGGTGGCTGTGTAGCAGTAGTCTCAATATAATTGAGGTAAGTTTTATGTTTGTTTGTTGATGTTTAGGTCATTATTGTTCAATAATCTATCTCTTTAACAATAATCCTATATATCTAGAATATTGGGTACGTATTACACACTCATCTTTTATAGTCCAAGCCTGCTACATACTATCTTGCTCGTTTTTCTTTTTCCTGTTTTTGGTCAACAACATGAAACTACTATATACCAAAGGTCGGTGGTGTTAAGCCGTAGAAGATAGGATGAATGCACTAGGTTGTTAATGTTGAGCCTATATATATAATATATAAACATCAGTCCAATTATCAATTTAAACTTTTAATTAAGTCAAAACATATCATTCACTTTAGTATCCAACTGTAGGCAAGATCGAGCTTATCATATGTGATTGGTGTGTTCAGCATATCATTTAGTTGAAAAAAAAAAAAAATCTAGTTCACACTGGCTTAGCTCAATGGTTCAGTAGGTATTAATTAGGAGAATGAGATCAATGTTGGAACTGTGGCCATGACAATGTGAGGATTATGCCAAAAAATTCCTTCTGGGCACCAGCATTTGGCCCAGTCTGTTGAGTCATTAAGTCACCAACCTAGTACGGGGTTTATGCCGAAAAGGTCCCTTCTGGGCACCGGTATTTGACCCAGTCTGTTAAGTCATTAAGCCACCAATCTTTTGAGAGATCGAAGAAGAAAAAAAATCTAAACTTCATCTTATATATTTTTTTGGTGTAAACCACGAGAGGCACAGGGACTGACCCAAAGGGAATCGTCACTTGTAAAAATTGAATCCAAATTATTCTGAATTATCCCCACAAAGAGAACTCATTAACCACTTAAACTACCTTCTTGGATTAACTTCATCTTATATATTGATAATAAAAACATGGTTTAGGGTTGGGGTTTAACCTTTGCAAGAATAATAAAAACATGCTACCCACCCATCTTTGCCACCGAAAAATATGGATACGTCTCTAATTTTCATATGATGATTTAATTTCATCATGAATTAATCAAACTACATCTCATGTGTTTAAATTTCTTTACAAAATTGTTATAATCTACTAATACTAATTTAATAAGAGCCAATATGTTGATTCAATTGTTCATTGAAATGAATGGTTAATATTATTTTGATTTTATCCTCTATTATATCATTTATTTTTTTAAATTACCCGACAAAGCGTCTAACATGAAACACAGAGGCTAGACCTACTGCGCACAAGAAGCCGAGGTTGCTCCCACACTGCCGCCGCGAGTGAGACTCGATCTCTGGTCATTCTTCCAAACTTTCACCTCTATGACCAATTGAGCTGCCCATGCGGGCAACTATTTATTATTCTTAACTTACTCATTAATTTTCATAATTAAGGTCTTAAGTTCGAACCTCATCTCATTCATAGTTGACATAACTTTTGAACATATACTATTAATATGTTAGAATGTATTAAAAAATACAATATAAAATTTAACAAAAAATTTGACCATCTTTCATTTTTATGAAACAAATCTATGTTGAGTGTTTTTTTTTTTCGTTTAATTAATCTTTTTTTGATTATTTAGAAACAATACTCAGTATTTTTAATTATACTTATTATTGGGAATGATATAGGTTGGTATTAATATTTTTTGTATGTATTTTTATAATGGTACAATTATACATTACATTACAAAAATTGCATTATTATTATTTTTATGGGGATAAATTATTCTTACATTATTAAAGTTTTATATATATATATATATATATATATATATGTATATGTATATATATATATATACATATATATATATACATATACATATATATATATATATATATATATATATATATATGCTTAACTGCTTGTTCATAAATTTGTTTGTGAACATTATTAAATGAATACTAAAAGAGCTTGTTCATTAACATTATTAAACAAACACAAACGAGTTTGTTCACGAACTCTTAGCAAACGAGCCTACAACTATTCAGACTCTGTTAATTTGTGAACTGAGCTCTAAAATATGTTCATTTATTTTTATCTACTTAAATAAATGAACACTTACCGAACACGAACAAAAGTAGTTCGCTAACACCCCTAATTTCTATTAACTTTAATAATATTTCCTACATCAGATGAATTTCAATTTAATTTGGAGCCATATCCCCATATAGCCCAAAAGTTAATATTAGCCCATTTGACGATATTCCTCTACGGGAATTGCATTACGTGAGTTCTTCAACTGGGTTTCTATCAGTAGACTCCAACAATTAAGAAGAAATTTGAATCAGACCCACCAATTCATTTCAATTATTTTAGATGCATTGTTTCACACCTTAATAGATGACACTTCAACATTGTAAAAACCAGTTTGTCTAACTACAATACACTACACTGTAAAAAAAAACTGTTGCTTGTGATATATAAGGTGGCAAAATGCTAATTCTTGTGTTCCTTGTTGCTGCATATAGAACAGAACCATGGATAATCTCAGCAGTGAAAGTGAAAGGTTTCTTGCTTCCCATCAAGTAGAGAAGACAGGAAATGATCTGAAAGCCAGAGTATACGACGAATCCAAGAAGATATGGGTGGTTGCCTTCCCCGGTATACTCTCAAGAGTCTCTTCATTCGGAAGCTTAGTGGTGACACAGTCCTTCATTGGCCATATCAGTGATGTTGATGTTGCTGGTTATGCACTTATTCAAATTCTCGCCGTCCGCTTTATCAACGGAATATTGGTAACTTCATTTTACTCTCAGATTCACCTTCTTGGTTTGAATCCATAAAAAATTGCACTTTACATGGAAAAAATGCAGATAGGAATGTCAAGTGCAACAGAAACTCTATGTGGGCAAGCATATGGAGCTGGGCATTATCATATGATGGGCATTTACTTGCAGAGATCATGGGTTGTTGAGTTAATCACACTCACACTCTTGAATCCCTTGTTCATCTTTGCCACCCCAATCTTCAAACTTCTTGGACAGGAAGACTCTATTGCAAGCTCTGCTGGATATATCTCTCTATGGTTCATCCCTGTCAATTACAGCTTCATATTTAGCTGGACCATCCAGATGTATCTACAAGCACAGCAAAAGAACATGATTATTGCTTGGCTATCCATAGCTCAATTCATCATCCACATTCCACTGTCTTGGCTGCTAGTTTACAAGCTGGAGTTTGGGGTTCCAGGTGCAATGATAGCCCTTCTCATATCCTCCTGGTTTATTGTGATCGGCGAGTTTATCTACGTATTTGGAGGCTGGTGCCCAAACACATGGAAAGGGTTTACAATGGCTGCCTTTAAAGATATATTCCCTGTTGTCAAGCTCTCCATATCATCAGGACTTATGCTTTGGTATCTGCCCTCCCTTAACTCCTGTTTCTTGGCTTAACTTCATAAATGCCACTTACAATCATGATTTTTTCTAGTTTGGAGATATGGTACAATGCCATATTGGTCTTATTAGCTGGATATATGCAGAATGCAGAGGTTGCCATATCAGCCTTCTCCATCTGGTAATTAAGAACTATCTCCCCTTTCTCTGTTGAATGTTTAGTGCACTAGTAAGGCTCCAATTCACTAAATTTTCATTCTGCACTTCTGCAGCCTTAATGTAAATGCATGGGAACTCATGATTAGCCTGGGCTTCCTAGGTGCTGCTTGGTATGTATTTTTGCCATAACTAGGATGTTTTTTAAGGTTATCGATATGTCTGTGATTGTGTATTGGGTTTATTCAATCTGTAGTGTTCGTGTTGCGAATGAACTTGGAAGAGGAGATGCTAAAGCTACAAAATTTTCCATTAAAGTCACCCTAGCAACTTCAGTTCTGATTGGATTATTCTTCTGGGCTCTGTGCTTGGCGTTTGGGAACCAAATTGGATACCTGTTTACCAACGAAAAGGAGGTTGCAGATGCTGTGTCCGACCTGTCTGTGTTGAACGCGTTCTCCATATTACTCAACAGCATTTACCCAGTACTCTCGGGCAAGTTTTCGCGTATATGTACAAGTTCTTGATGCATTTCACAAAGAACTTTGATCACTTAAATTTTGTCCATCATCATCATCAGGTGTGGCTGTTGGAGCGGGCTTACAAAGCGCAGTTGCAATTATAAACCTGGTTTGCTTTTATGTTATTGGAATACCCATTGGTGCTTTGCTTGGCTATGTTGCTCATCTTGAAGTGAAGGTATGGTAGCTCTCTTTGTTCTCAGATCATAGTTTAGTTTAGCCCCAAAGTGGTGATATTATTATTGTTGATTGTTTGGTTTAGGGTATATGGATTGGAATGATTTGTGGGGTGCTCACTGAGACCCTTGCCTTGTGCTATATGACTTGGAGAACAGAGTGGGATAGTGAGGTGACTAAGGCTCAAAATCGTCTCCAGAGATTCTACTTGACATCTGAGCATTCCCATCAACTATTAGCTTGACATTCAAGACTGCTCAACTTCATGTTCATGTGCCTTTAAACTCAACTTTTACACTATTTTGCAGCACAAAAATAAGAGTCTCATTGCTATTAGTTCAATAATACCCGGTTTCGTATGATTATTTTTGTTTGCAATTCATCAATTGGATTGTTTGAACATGCAATGAATATGAGGAGGAGGCTGACATCTACCCTTCTCCCAGCAAAACAACAATGGTAGTTGAACCAAACCCACCTGCCCATCTTGTCACTACATTATGAGGAGAAAAACAAGAGAGCCAGTTGAGCCATGCCTTACGATTCAAACTTCAGTATAAAAGTGGGATTGAGATGCAATCCTTACAATTCACGACTTCAGTATAGAAGCGGGATTGAGATGAGCTCGTTGAGCCACATCCCACGATTCAGACTTCATTATAGAAGCGGGATTGGGATGCAATCCTAAGCAGGATTGGGATGCAATCCTAGATGGGACAGACAAGCAAGCAAGGCCACCACTTTCTCCACCTTTTGAGTTATAACTGAGGATACAGTCACAGCACCTCTGCCAATGGTGGATTTCACCGTCCACCACCCATGACCTGTCCCTCCACAGTAAACCACCAAAGAATGTCTTTTTCCCCACCACCATTTTGTCCACCAATCAAGCATAACGCCGTTAGAAACAACCTATAACCCATCATCTCTCACCATTGTACCAAACCAAATGTAAGGTGTTAGGTGTATTTAACTTTCATGGGTGGCTGTAACAAACAGTAGATATATTGATTCAGCTTTGGCAGGATATTAGGTTCCAAATTTCAGACTTTAAACTGTATTGTTACATCAGTACAAGGGGAGAGGGAAGTGGTCAATTCGAGGGGCCTAAATCAAATTGCCAAATCAAGATAACTATTCATTCAACTTTCCAATGCATTGTAAATGCAATGTCGACTATAAGAATGACCTTCAACCAGTCTATTCATAAACTTTTACCAGAAAATGAAAAGATCTCAAAGGACTCAACCCCCAATGTGTCCCCACTATTTGAAAAGAAAATTCCTTCTTCAATGTCCTTTTCAATTTTCTTTCAAAATACAAAACCAAATGTAATTACTAACTTCATCACTGTGAAATGGAGAGAGTAGATTTCAAGATTCATGGATTATAACTAAACCAACCAAGCATATTACACTCCAAATCCCAAAACACATTAATTTTTCATTACTTCTACTACTGAGCATCATAAGCAGCAAAAAAGACTTAAAAAGAAGATAGGTGGCTAGCTAGTTTTTTTTTCATCACCAGTTCACAAAAACAGTTGAAACAAAATGAAAGGGCATAGAACAGAGGAATGGAATGTGATGATCCACATTTTCCCTCCCTCTGGGTTGGTTGTTGGGTAAACAGTCTAGCGATTGCTGTTTGGGCAGTCACGAGCAAAGTGCCCATCCTCCCCACAGCTGAAGCAACCACCGCCGCCTCCGCCTCCGCCGCCGTAACGGCCACCGCCACCTCCTCCGCCTCCGCTCTGTGTGCACTCCCTAGCAAAGTGCCCATCCTCGCCACATTTGAAACAGCCTCCACCACGGCCGCCTCCGCCTCCACCGTAACCTCCGCCACCGTAGCCGCCGCCGCCTCCTCCATACCCGCCACCGCCGTAGCCTCCACCACCTCCGTAGCCACCGCCGCCGCCTCCGTAGCCACCACCACGGCCACCGCCGCTCCGGCTTCCGCTGTTAAAGCCATATCCCCCGCCTCCGCCACGGCCGCCGCCGCCGCCACGGCCGCCGCCGCTTGGTCCTCCTTGAACGGGGCCTCCATCAGGGCCCGTAACGTTAACGGCCTTGGTACGGCCGTCGTCACCAGACGAAACCTCAAACTCCACAACCTCCCCTTCAGCGAGGCTGCGGAAACCCTCAGATCTGATACCGGACTGGTGAACAAACAGATCTTCGCTGCCGTCGTCGGGGGTTATGAACCCAAACCCCTTCTGGTCACTGAACCACTTCACGCAGCCCTTCATCCTCTGTTCACTCTCCTCAGCCATTTTTTCACAAACCCTACCTCTCTCTCTCTCTCTTCCTTTCTTTCTCTCTCTAGCGATTTTTAGAGTCCTCTTTAGCGATGGCTTGGCTATATAGTGAGGAGGTGCCACGTTTATGGGTGCGTTAGGGGGGTGGGGTTTAACGGATGAAGTTGTGTGGGCGGTGGGGCCTCTCTTCCTATTGGGTAATCCATTTTCGAAGATATCTAACGGCCAGGGTTTCGCAGATGACCCTTCTGCTACTGTCACTTTGGGATTTTGGGCTCTCCGCAACAGATATTTTCATTTTCATGTAACCTCATTTAATTTTTTTCTAAAACTTATTAAAAATATCAAACACTCGTTTTTTTTTTTTTTTTTTTTTGAGTACATATCCAAGACTCTTTATTTTCTTTTTAATGTTATACCATCATTGCATGTTTGGTATTCCTTCCCTCAAATTCCAAAAAGGAAAAAATTCTATAGTTTAGTATGAAAACTAGGACTATGTGGTCTAATGGTATCCAGGTTGGACTTCCATTTGAAAGATTGTGAGTTTGAGCCTCAGCGGAGGCGTTACTAGCTTTTTGTGTTTTAGTAGGTTGAGAAAGTATATGAACAGATACTCATGTAATAGAGCTAGTAGCATTCATTCAAAAAAAAAAAAAAAGTATTAAAGATTTGTGTTTCCAATTATTTATATTTGTGTTTCCAATTATTTATATTTGGGTGAAGTGTCAAATAGCACCCTGAACCAATTGCTATATGTCATCCCGCACCATATACTTACATAAGTGATTATTCGAATCACAAACTAAAAAAAATTGTCCATCTAACATTTCTAATAGGTTTCCCTGTTGCTTTGATGACATGGATCCGGTTAAAGGCTGACGTGGAAACTAATTATGAATTTCGCTTATTTATATTGAATTCATCTTCTCCTATCGCAGAAGCTATGGAAGACGACTACTTCCGGCGACCCAATTTTCGTTTCCAGTTCTCCATTGAATTTCAGTGCAAACTAGAAGCCACAAGTCTCTCAAGATTCATTCGCCTATTTATTCACAGCTTCCTTCTCTCCTTTTCTCATCGTCTTCTCTTGTAGTCTCTTGTATTTTCTCCTTTCAGTCCTGAAAAAATGGCAGAAGTTGAGTACCGATGCTTCGTCGGTGGTTTGGCCTGGGCCACCACCGAAAGCTCTCTCCATGATGCGTTCTCTTCCTTCGGCGAGGTCATCGAATCGAAGGTCTGTCTGTCTCAGAGCAGTGATCGAATCTCGGTTTGACCGATTCGGCTTTGTTGACATGATCTCTCTGTTACTACTACTATGTTACTTGATTGATCTACTGTTCTCTCTCTCTCTGTGCTACTATTTGTTACTATTACTTTCCCCTGAAACGGTACGTTCATCTTCCTCTTTCTGTTGAGAGGTTAAGATCGATCGCTTTTGTGTTTCGTCCCTATACGTATATATGTATTTTCTAAGTTCGGTGTTATTACTGTGTTTTTAGCTTTAGATTTCGATGGTGTTGACTTTGTTGTTGAATTTTGTGGTGGATCAGATCAACGATCGTGAGACCGGGAGATCCAAAGGTTTTGGCTTCGTTACCTTCAAGGATGAGCAAGCAATGAAGGATGCTGTCCAGGGGATGAACGGCCAGTTTCTTGACGGGCGTAACATAACTGTTAACGAGGCTCAGTCTCGCGGCAGCGGCGGCGGTGGCGGTTTCCGTGGTGGACGTCGTGAGGGCGGAGGCCGTGGTGGCGGTTATGGTGGCCGCAGGGAAGGTGGTTACGGTGGTGGCGTTTATGGTGTCCGCATAGATGGTCTCCTTTGGGCTGTATGCGATTGTGAATTTTTATAGCAGGGAAATTTTGGAAATTTTAATCCAAAAAAATGGATTAAAGTCCCATTGGCAGGAAATTTTGGCCGAAAGGAGTTGGATTGAAATGAATGTTATATTACATTAAACTGATGAATGGATGCCACATATTCTCAAATTGCTGCCACATCTACAAAATAACACACATCTATGCCAAATCACCTCCACATCACCAACTTATTACCTTTAACTTGAAGGTTACCTGTAAAAAAGGCTAGGTGAACAATTTTTTTTGGTTTGTGAATCGAATAATCACTTATGTAAGATTAGGGTGCGGGATGACATTTCGTTGTTGGTTCATGGTGCTATTTGGCACTTGAGCCTTTATATTTTTTCCATGTTGAGAAATTGTAATTTTATGAATCATCTAAAGAAATGGACAAAATCATTATTCTTACTCAATTACAATTCGATTTAATTGTTTACTGAGAATTTATTATTATAATAAGATTATGATAATAGTATTATAATAATGATATTATATTGTATAATTATTACCAAATTATAATTGTGTAATTAATTGTAATTTACAATAATAACAATAATAATAGTAATAATATGTATATATATTGTGATATTATTAGTACTTAGTCATTTTTAATTTTCATGTAAACGACACATAGGAATTGAAATTTCAAATAATTATATTTCCAACAACCAAATAATACAAATTGAATTCTTACCTTATTCTCAATTATTCATTTTTCAAGAAATTGTAACTTATTTTTGTCATATAGTTTCTCATTGCAAACAAAAGTCCAATCTAGATTATATTAATTAAGCTATATATTTCTTGTGCTCTTTTAAAATATAAATTTAAGCCAATATAACATTGAAAATTCAAATAACCATAAATTCAATGAAATATAAAAAAAAAATTATAAAAATTTACAATTGCTAAAATATTACAATTCGTGAGTTGCAAATTGCTTTGTAATGAGATATAATGAAACAAACATTGCATATAAAATATTCTATATTCAACAGTTAAAAATTAAAAAATAAATAAAAAGGAATGAGGGGTCGTGACAAACATGTTCTCCACTATTACTTTTCATTGGTGCTATTTAATGTGCCAATTAGCTATGTGTTGTAGTGCTGTACAGAGCTAGTTCACTATGTGTTGTAGCATTGTACAAAATCAGGTTGGTTGTGTTGTGGCTTTCAAAAAAAAAAGGTTGGTTGTGTTGTAGCACTGTACACAACTAGTTGGCTGTGTTGTAGCACTATACACAACCAATTGGCTATGTGTTATAACACTATACACAACCTGTTAGAGCACAATAAAATAAATGATATATAACTTTTCGTTGAGTGCACTTATTTATATATATATATATGTGTGTGTGTGTGTGTGTGTGTGTGTGTGTGTGTGTGTGTGTGTGTGTGTGTGCGCGTGCGCGCGTGAATTCACTCATCAATATTTATTTATTTACTAGTAATAACGTGCGCATTGCGTGATTAATTAATACCCAACATGAAAATTAAAATAAGTAAATACTTAGTACAATTTTTAAATATTAAATAATTAATACTCCATATAAAATAAAATGATTATTTTTAATATAATCAAAATAAGTATTTTCAACGTCTAAGAAAGTAGTAATAAAGATTATGAAAATTTACGATTGATTAAATATTACAATTTGTGAGGAGTTATAAGAAACAAACATTGCATATAAAATATTATATATTCAAATATTGAAAATTTAAAAAAAAAATAAATAAATAAAAGGAAGGGGCAGAGAGAGACATGCTATCCACTATTATCTTTCATCAGGTGGACACATGTAGTGCATGTTGCCCGTTAAGCAAGGCGTGAAAAATACACTAAGTTTATTTCTTCCGTTAACTAGGTGCTATTTAATGTGTCAGTTGGCTACCGCTATAGCATTGTAAACAACCAGTTGACTCTATGTTGTAGCACTTTACACAACCTATTAGCACAATTAAATAAATGATACATAGCTTTTTGTTGAGTGCAACTTTTTCTTATATATAGTATACAACTTACTAGCATATGCATGAATTAACTCATTCTTATTTATTTATTTAATAGTAATTACTAATGTGCGCATTGCGTGATTAAATTAATGTCCACCAGCATTATTTGACTGTTTATTTGACAGTTGTTAGGGCTCCACATTAGTCCTAGATATAGCCGTTATGCTGTCAGATTTTACGTTCATTGGTGCACTGCAAGATAAGCGTGTTTAGCCAGCCGAAAGGCTTACGTCTGACTGTTACTGGTAGATGCGTCGCCATCCTGACATCTCCACTATTGTTTTTTACCTTTTTATACTCTTTGATCTAGCCTATTATTTGGGCGTGGGTCAATTCTTTTATTTATTCCTTTTCATCCCTTAGACTTGACCTGTTTGGGTTTTGGGTCCGTTCGTTATTTATATTTCTTTAGATTAGTATAGGCCCAATCTAAAGGGCTAAGTATGTTTTACGGTCACTTTTGGGCCATCCTTTGTAAATTATTTTAATTCCTTTGATTAATAAAATTTATTTTTGAAAAAAAAAAGTAATATCCACCGCGAAAATTAAAATAAGTAAATATTTAGTACAATTTTAAATATTAAATAATTAATACTCGATATAAAATAACAATTATTATTTTTAATATAATAAAGAAAAGTATTTTTAACTTGTAACAAAGTAGTAGTAAATGTTATGAAAATTTACAATTGATAAAATTTTATAATTTGTGAGTTGCAAATTGCTTTGTTAGGAGATATATAATAAAACAAACATTTCATATAAAATATTATATATTCAACGGTTAAAATTTTAAAAATAAATAAATAAATAAAATGAAGAATGGCCAGTGACAAACAGATTGTCCAATTATCTTTCGCCAAGTGGACACAAGTAACACATGTTGTCCGTTGACTATGTGTTACACCATTGTACACAACCAATTGGCTATGTGTCGTAGTATTGTACACAGTCATCAGTTCGCTATGTATTGTAGCTCTTACACAATGTATTAGCATAATAAAATAAATGATACATATATAGCTTTTCATTGAGTGCAAATTTTTCTTTTATATATATATACATATATATATATATATATACACACACAGTGTTAGGAATAAAGTGTAATGGTTTTGATATGCCAAATTTGTATCTGTAGATCCCCCAATCTTATTTATAGGTCTAGTAGAGTCTTAGACCATGATCGGGAAATTATTTAATTATGAAAAGAGAAAAACATAAGAAAATGGATGAAAAT